CTCAGAAGCTGATCAAATATCGGGTCTTATCACTTCTTTTTTGAAGTGACATTGAAAGATTAGGAAACTGATAGATGAACAGAGGACGACTATGAAATGAGATGACCCCCCCCCCCCTCTGGTAAAGTGGATATTTTAAAAATCATTCTGTCCATCATGTTGGCCGTGAGCTTCAGGGATATTTAACAACCTGTTTTCTGGAACAGGTTCATTAGATTTCCTGCCTACGCCTGCTTTTTTTTAAGCACAGAGAAATATTTACAAAGGTTTGTAAGTTAAAGCCTCCCCCCCCTCCAGGTCAGTCCACAGATGTTCCACAGAAATTCAATCTGGGCTGTTTGGCTCAACATGAATTGGAGATGGCAGTTCACAGGAGACTAAAATCCCATCTGACGGAGCCTCAGAGGATCTCCTGGGATGAATGGGATAAACTGCGGCGTGCACGCAGGTGTGAAAAGCCTGAGCACACTCATCCAAGAAGACTCTGCTGCTTTAACTGCTGCCAACAGAGCTTCAAAGACTAGAAGCTGCGGTCAGTTCTTCCTTCCTTACAGCTCCAGCTCTCCGTCCCACTTCTTCCTATTTTAATCTTGTTTACAGACACCATGCATCTGCACTTTAGAAGGTCAGTTATTAGAGACGATGCGTAAGCCCGTTGATTTTGTTTGTGCCTAATCACTTTAATCACATAAAATTAGACTTGATTAAAGAAGAGCCTTAATCAGACTAAATCAGAAAACTTTGGACTTTCTTTGTTTTAATTTGACTGAAAAGCTGCACTGATTTCATTTTTGTTTAGTGAAAGAAATAAACAGTTAAAGCGTAACCATGGATACCTTTCACAGTGATGGACAGCCCCATCAGAGCCTCCCGAAGAGCGCTCCTCTTCCTCCATCTCCCTTCATCTGTGTTATACATCTCCACCACCTTTAGAGGGTTCTGTTCTTCTCCCACTCCTCCAACCACCAGGATCTGCTTCCCCAGCTCCGCTACGGCTGCCCCAGCACGAGGGGTGGGCATCGGGGCCAAGCTTATCCACCGGTCCCCCTGCGCACAGAAGGATGGACATTAACCTGTCTGATCCATAGAAAAACATGCAGCGCGTTTTAAGTTTCAGAATCGTTCTGAATTAAAGAAGAAACTATGATAAATTGGTATTAAAGGAGGAGGACTTTCTAGACCTGAGAAAATGTCCTTTATATCATTATAAAAATGATGCATAAAACCAACATATTTCTAAAAGATCCTCCTCCAGGTTGATTTGCTTCCTACCTCAGGAGAATACAGCTCCAGTCCAGAGCACGGCCTTCCTGTAGCATCGCAGCCCCCCAGCATGTACATCTGACCCCCGACCTCACACAGAGCGTGGTAGACACGGCCGCACGGCAGCCGGGCCAAGCTCTGCCAGTGGAACTCATTGGCACTGGGTACCGCCATCCCAGGACTGCTGAAGGAGGCAGGATGAGGAGACCGACGACCAGCGAGGCTTTCAGAGGACGGATGAAAACTTGGCCTCAGGTTGAGGAAGCGTTTCTATAGAAAGGTTTCCTTCTCTCAGTAAATCAGGCCCTCCCCTGGAGAAAACAGTATCAAACAGAACAGGTTTTATTATTCAAACTTCTGTCTTTGCATCGATTTCTTATCTATTGTGTTTATTTTTCCACAGTGGGGTTGCAAAAGAACCAGTTATTTATAACAAAAAATACAAGGATTAACATAAACTGTTTACAGCTTTTTATAAATTAACAGAGATCCAAACTTATGCTGCATTCTCCCTCCAGTTTAATAGATTTCAGTTTAAATAATGAAGATTTCCAAAATCCTAACAAGGATAAAACACCGACTCATTCAGCAGAACCACAGCTTATCCCTTTATTTAGAAACCTTGAACTTTTTCATATTTCTCCTGTTAAAACCTAAAAACTCAATGAATATTATTATTTAGTGCAACAGAACAACAAAAAAACTATGATTGTGAATTTAGAGAAAATAAAAACAAGGTTCTGAAAAAGGTTTAAAGGTTGGACACAGAATCTCTGTGCAAAAAGAAAACTTTGTTTAGATAAAGTAAATATTTTAATAACATTTGAAACAAGGTTGCAACGTGACTAAAGGTGGAAAAGGTGCAGGGCCACGACTACTTGCTGAAGTTGCTGTGTCATGCATTACACAGGGCCACTGCTATGCTGAGACTAAACTTAAACCTTTTGCCCATCGGTGGATAAAACCTAACTCTGTTAGACTGAACACACCCACATGGCAAAGCATAGAGGTGGCCGCATGTTGAAGACAAAGCAGAGTTAATGGGAAGATGTAGTTTTAGCTCATCTGATATTTTTGCTCTAACCTCCATGATAAATGAAGCCAGGATGCAAATGATGACATGGAAAAAAGGTCAGTGGCTGAAATCCTGGATGTTTGAATCATTTGTGAAGCACAGACACTTTTTTTTTAGACCGACACAAAGTAAAGGATGATTATAGAAATTATAGAAATGATTATAGAAATTCTATAATTATTAAAAACAATTTGAGCCATGTATTTGTGCCCACTTGTATTATTTTGGGGTAACTATAGCAGGTTTATTCCTCTAGAAATAGACAGTTTAGAACATTCATCTATGAATCTAGCTCTAACTATGCAGAGTAGGGGAGGAAGTAAATATATAAAATTGTGTTATTTAATTTTATTACAAATTAAAAGTAACTGTAGCTCATTATAGCTACTAAATAATATATATAATCGAATTAGTTACTAAATAAATACCAATAATTACATTGTATTATATTGCATCGAATTATCTCCTTAAATCTAACCCAACTGCTCATTAAGATGTTTTTTAAGCTTTAAAAATAACGTTTACTGTAGTGCACCCCCCCCCCATCCTGCGTTGGGGATAATTATATAAGCGGCATCAATTACTGATGCTGCTACATCATTAAACAATCATGTATTCACATTTTGGAAAAAAAAAATGCACCTGTGTTTATAGAGGGAAAAATCCTGATTATAGAATCTAACCTCAAACATCTTAATGATTGTGTTCAGATAAACTCAACTAACTGAGGAATGTTTTTATTTTCTTACAGGGATGAAAAAGGGGGGGGAAATTAAATAATCTAAATATTCAGAGAATTTGGTAGTGGTAGTTTTTTTCTCTTTTGTGTTAACATTATGCTATATTACGAAGGTAATATAGCATAATTTAATGTCAGAATTCTGACTTTTTTCCCATACTATACTGAAGTGTTATCTGCTGGGCGGAGCTTCAAGCTTTCTTTCTGAAACCGGTTGTTCTATGATGACTTTAATCTCGTAATTTTATAACTTTATTCTTGTGACGTTACAAATGTATTCTCTGGCCTTAATACTCTGTAGTACATAGTGTCTAACCTACAGAAAAAAACAATAAACATGTTTAATCCTATTTTTCCGGACCGCTCTGAGCGTGTCCCATGATGATGTCAGAAGCAGTTTAACAGAGAAAATGTAAAAAGCATAGAAATGTATTTATTCATAGAAACCGGGATGTATATCTGGTTGCGCGTCCAAAAATGAGTGGATGGTACGGATGGTGCTTACGGGACGAATCGGATCGTAACACCCAGCATTACAGTCTCTACTGTTTGAGGCTTCTTTCGCTTTGCAATAAGCTCCGCTAGCAAACAACTAGCCTCCATTGCCCTTTCAGACACTTTCACACAAGACCATCAAGACCATCAACCCCACACTGCTCCCTGGTTGCCGCACAGTGGCAGCCCACTGCTCCCCAAAGGAATGGGTTCAATGCAGAGAGAGAATTTCGTTGCTCGGTACTTGTGACAGTGGAATGAAAATAATAGCTCAGAAAAAAAGTAGTACAAGGGAAGGAGAGGAGCAAGGCGTAAATCAGGAAAATCCAGGTAAGTTTTGGTATTGCCCGTCAGATAGGATGTGTTGGTGAGTGATAGAGTCAATTACTGGCATCAGGCACTGAGGAAGTTCAAAAATGTAGAAAATGTGTGAATGTATCTTTCTGGTCCAGACAGCTGTCTGGGTGCTCAGCACCCGTAAATCTGTGATCCTAGAACCGCCCCTGCTAAGCTCTCCCCCTAAGTTANTAAGTTTTGGTATTGCCCGTCAGATAGGATGTGTTGGTGAGTGATAGAGTCAATTACTGGCATCAGGCACTGAGGAAGTTCAAAAATGTAGAAAACAGTGAAATGTATCTTTCTGGTCCAGACAGCTGTCTGGGTGCTCAGCACCCGTAAATCTGTGATCCTAGAACCGCCCCTGCTAAGCTCTCCCCCTAAGCTAACACCAGCATGATGCTGCCTCTACCTCTGTGGTGCCTTAGCTCCAGAGAGAAGCCCGTGATTGACCGGTGCAGGTCTACAATATTAACGAGAACCATGGTTGCTTGGTAACCATGGTGGGAGAAATGGTTCTCACTTTTTTGTTATTGCCAACAGATTGTTGTTTTGTGTTTATGTTTATTTGTTTTTATTCCATGGGCAATATTTGGGGTAAGTGTTTTATAGAAACAAAAATCTCCTTGAATCTGTGGGTTTGAGGGATTTTAAAAGGCCTTCTTTAGATCAACTTCTCAGGGATTATCTCTTTAAATTAGATTCAGAACCAACCCAAGCTGGTTGACAGTTGCCTTTTGTATCTATGCTTCTTTTTCTATGTCTGCTTCTGTCTCCTTGAACCAAATGACCTTATTGAACAGCGTACTGTAGCTCATAATACAGTCTACCAATTAAAGAAAAGACTGTCTTTCTGATTTAAACACATTTCAGTTTCATTGTGGAACTTTGGGTTAAGTTCTGTTTAAGTAAGAAGCAAACTCTGATGTGCCATATGTGGTGTTCCTTTTGTTCTTCTTCTCTCATGTAACGTCAGCCTTCTGTGCTCTTTATTTTCCCTACTCTGCCGTCCTTCATGAGCCGTTTGCTTTCCTGTGTGTAACCTACTTCTGATACTCTGAGATTTCAGGGAGGAACGGGGGTGGAGGTTTGTCTCTGTTGAGAAGAAGCGCCGTAAATAAACCCACAATACGTCACTGGGCTCATTGTGAATACGCTGCCTAAATTGTTGCTAATAAAATAAGCTTCTATGTCACACATGTGGGGGAATCTACTATTTATTCCAGCCATAGCTTCTGAGGTCAAAGGAAGGACTATAGACTCTGATTTAAACACAGTATCTGAACAGTTTGTCCCTTTTGAAGCTTCATATCTTTAGCTACACCCTCCACTGCCATAACTCCCCCTCCTCCTTTATTCCTTTGTTCTGTCCCCCCCACCCTGTCTGCTTTGCTATCGCGCTTCATCTACCTGTCACACCTTTGATCACCTCACAGACGCTTCAATGAAGAACAAAGACAAAAGAGACTGTCCTTCAACATAAAATCTGCCTCATTTTTCAGATGTACCAGGGCTGGTTGCCATAGCAACAGCCAGGCTCTCTCAAGAGTTTTTATCCCTGCACCCCCCCCCCCCCAAAGCTTAAGCCTTTTGCACATGACTGCTTATCGCTTGGTTTGCTTTTAATAAGAGGAAAGATGAAGAATAAGGAGGATGCTTCCTATAGCCTGACCCTAGCAGG